AAAAAAAAAAAAAAAACTGTGTGAGCTGGTGGTCTGGGCAAGGTCGCTCACGCCTGTAATCCTAGCACTCTGAGAGGCCAAGGCAGGTGGATTGCCAGAGCTCACAGGTTCGAGACCAGCCTGAGCCAGAGCAAGACCTCATCTCTAAAAAAAAATAGCTCGGTGCCTTTAGTCCCAGCTACTTGGGAGGCTGAGGCAAGCCCAAGAGTTTGAGGTTGCTGTGAGCTGTGCACCAGGGCCTTCTACTGAGGGCAAGAAAATGAGACTGTGTCTAAAAAAAAAACAAAACTGTGGGCTGTGTGAGTACATGGAAATGATTGCAGAAAAGTAGGGAAAAAATAGTTTATGTTCAGTGATTACAGCCTTGAAAGATTAAAAAGATAAAATGATGTAAACAGTTCATGGGATTGTGTTCATGTCTAATAAATTAAAATTCTCAAACTTATTTTAATTTTTTTTTTTTTATTGACAATTTCCAAAACTGGTTGGGTGAGGGAACTTAATACATTTCGTTCTTTTCTTTCACAGCCGGGCACCTCAGATGAGAACTGCACCCAGGCCAGCACCAGCAGCTCAGCCACCAGCAGCAGCCCCACCATCTGCAGTTGGCTCACCTGCTGCTGCACCCCGGCAGCCTGGTCTGATGGCTCAAATGGCAACTACTGCAGCTGGTGTGGCTGTGGGCTCTGCAGTTGGGCACACTCTGGGTCATGCCATCACTGGGGGCTTCAGTGGAGGACGTAATGCTGAGCCCTCAAACCCCGACATCACTTACCAGGTAAGATTTTGGGCAGCATTTCCCTTCAATGGATGTATTTTATGAGCAGACCTAGTTGTTTATAAATTTTGTTTGTTTGTGTTTGGAGACAGACTCTCATCTGTCACCCTGGGTAGAGTGCTGTAGCGACACAGCTCACAGCAACCTCCTGCTCTTGGGCTTAGGTGATTTCTCTTGCCTCAGCCTCCCCAGTAGCTGGACTATAGGCACCCACCACAACACCTGGCTATTTTTTGTTGCAGTTTGCAGTTTGGCCAGGGCTGAGTTTGAACCTACCACCCTCAGTATGTTGGGCCATTGCCCTACTCACTGAGCCACAGGCACCGCCCACATTGTTTTCAATTCTAAGGTAGAGTTCAAGTTTTAGGTGAGCCCTTCCCCCAGGGGGCATGCTGAACAGTCTCACATTGTGCACATTAGGTGAGATCCCACCAGTTATCCTGCCCCCTTTTTTCTCCTCCCCCTAGCTAGACTATATTTGTGGTTTATTGATCATGTGGGCGTGTATTTGTTTATATTTTGGTTTCATATTAGTATTGAGTACATTGGATACTCTTTTTCACATTCTTGAGATATTCTTTTTTTTTTTTTTTTTTT